ACAGTGGAGACGCATCGTGAATGTAGTAAAAAGGCTTTATGTTGTACGCTTTAAAACAATAAAAAATGCTGGATGTTGCAGCATCTGAAATTTTATCTCATTAAAAAAAGAAAAATACTGGCGTGAATCTCCAGTACGTAGCAAGAGCTTCTCTTCCCCTACAAAGTTACTTCATATATTGCCCAAACAGTGTTTAAAAGTGAAATACTATATCTAGAAGATCAGTGGCTAACAAGTTCTATTTCCTTTATTTCACTGGGCCATTTGTTGTTAATGCTTTTGTTCTTGAACGGTATTCTTGGTTCATCAGTTTACCATTAAAACATCAACTTTCCCAATGCTACACTTCCACTTCCAAATGTTTCCTGTCAATAGTTTAGCTAATTTAGCCAGCACCTATTAATGAACATATGTGGGGACCTTCTGTCTTCAAAATTACATTAAAATGTTTAATTTGAAATAACAGAATATTGATGACTCTGGTAAGAAGAGTGATATGATTTATCATGTCACTAATTTGAATCTTTCCTTAATTTACACAAGATAAATAGAAAACAATGTCATATCTGATAGAAAAAAAAAGAATCTGGAGAAAAACTAATCATTCAGTAGGTTTCCCTGAAAAAAAAAGATATATATTTATTTTATAAATCTATGTATATAATAATACATTTATTTGCTCTCCAAAAGAAATCTCTTTCACTATCAAAATGTTAACAATAAAACAGAGATTATTACAAATGGGTCAGTAGAATATATTATATGCTCCAAACTTAATTTTTCTGAGCTGCAAACTTTCAGGTCAACTACTTTATACAAGGGGAAACATGGAGAGGATTTTGAAGTTGGAAAAAAAAAAATCTCCTTTGACTCAATACTTGTGATGCAGTTGATGGTAGATGCCCTTAGATCAGAGAATATAGCTGTAAACAAGCATGACTCAGGTTGCATGGAAAGTTCTGCAAATAAATCTAGCTGTCAATTAATTTCAAAGATACAATTTCCTGAAATCATGTTACATACCTGAGCCATGACTTTAAATCTCGAAGAAAATTTCTACATAAAAAGCTATGTTTGTCATTTGCAACATGTCTATTTAAATGTTAACATGACTGGGTTTATTCCAAACAGGCAGAAGAAAAAAATAAAAGCAAGTATTTGGCTAATTTGGGTTTTAAAAAAGCCCCTCACTTTCATCTTCAGGTAAGTATCTCTTTCAGGTGAAAGCAAAGGCGGTTTTAGCCAGAACTGCCTGGAGAAATGCAGAAGGAATAATCCTGTCTCATAGAAGCTAAACATATCTGGTTCGTGGACTGTTATTGTAAGGAAATTTGAGAAATAACAGAAACTGAAACCAACTGTTGAAGGTGAACAAGAACTTGATGAAAAGAAAGGCTTGTATTTCATGTCAAAATCAAGTGAGATGGACGAGTACACAGAAGACTTTACAGGTAGCACATGTATTCAGTGGTCAAATCCTGAAAATCCTTGACCAGAATATCCATCTGAACACGTGGCCACAACAGTCACAGAAGTGGAGAATCCTATTTCCTCACTTAAGAGAGAAAAAGGAAGTTAAATTGGTGAAACCTAAGAGGAAAGCAAGGAGTTAAAAGGAACTTTCTTGCCAGTCACTTAGCTCTTCTCTGGATTCTCCTTAAGCCCTCTTTCCACTGACATTACAGACGTCGATTTTGTGCTTAGAGACGTGCATATGTATAATTTACTGAAACCTTGAGAGAACACAACTCAGCTCTTCTTAGTGTTCACTTCTTCATAAGAGCAGTCTCTATAAAGGAGAACACAAAAGCTAGAAATTCCTAACATAGCTTAGGAACGGCTGGAGTCCTGGGATAACTGACCCAGGAAAGATAGGAGATGAGCATAGGGAGAGGAGTTGCTCCAGTTTTCAGGAAAGGTGACCACTGCCTACAACCTTCCACACACACCCAGCAGAGTCACAGGTCTACCTGAGGAAGGGGTGGGGTGGTGGGAGCTGGCAGGGGCGGGGTGGGGTGGGTCTGTGGGTGATTAAGTTCCTCCCAACCTCCAGTTTTAGGCCCCAGATAACCCAGTAGAGCATCTCAGGGCACCATGAAAAGGACTGTCAGGTATTTATGCTCTGATTATCCATAAAACGGTTACCGTTTACAACCATGATCTAAGGTCATCCAAGAAGGGCAAAGCCTGTTTGCAGGTAGGCACAGGTGGCCTTCTCTGCCACCCCCCTCCCCCGCGGTTTCTCTCTCATCACTTCTCAGGGGTTATAGATCACTGACCTGAAGAATTTGTAAGAGGAAACTCCCCTGTCCTCCCTCTTTCCAGGGTTCCTTGAAATCCTGAGCTGTTTGGAGAGAGTGGAATTTCTTCCTCCGTGCAACTAAGCTCATTTGGGCACTAACAGGCCTCCCCGTTCTCTGCCCTCACCTCTTTCCATACACACACAGTTTATTCTCTTCTTTTGTCTGGAAGGTCATTTTCACTCAACTGAGAAAGAGAACTGGGTCTTCCCTATCTAGAGTTTCCACCCGAGGGTAAATCCCCCGGAGCCTGGAGGCCCCGAAACAGAGGTAGAGTGCGGAAGGTCAGGGATGGGAAAGAATCTGCAGCCAGAAGGGAGAACTAGAATGATCCGGGAGAATCGCAGCGCAGAGAACTAAGGCAGAGCTCAGGACAAGTTTATTTTACTTCCTTGAGCTCCCCAAAGCTCCCAAGTTCTAAGATTCCTTTAGAGATGGGGGGTGGGGGTGGGGGGCGGGAAGCCCAACTAATTCTCGAAATTCCTAGAGACGAAATTATCCGGGCAAGCACTCCTCTCCCACCAGAGCGCGGCACTTTGCGCGCCCCTGCGGGGGACTCAGATGCTGGGCCAAAGTAGACTCGTGGAGAGGGCGCGCTGGGCCTTCTCCGTCTTTGACCAGTTTCCGAGCAAAGCGTGTCGGGTCGTCCAGCGCTGGGGACAGGGAATTTGCATGTGGTTAAGGGCTGGGCGCTGAGGAAGCTGAGAAGCGTGTCAAAGAGCAGGCTGACGCGCCTCCACTAGCCGGCCAAGGTCAGAGAACTTGGGTGGGGGTCTGGAGGTGGTTGCTCTTGGGCTAACGCCAAGGCTCTTGAAACAGCGCGCTCTTTTCCAAGGAGATAAGGAGGAATGCAGCTAACTAGAGACCACGCCTTCCCTTTTATCTCGTCTTTTCTCATTTCCGTCTTTCTTACTTTTGATCGCCTTCTCCTCCTTTTAGAACTTAAGAAAAGCTTCCGCGAACTTGTGCCGGGGAGCTGAGTGGCACTTACTGTCGGCTAATGGGGCAGAGAGAGAGAGAATGAGACATCGCACCCCCAGCCCCCGAATCCCGACATTTACAGGTCCCCGCCGCTTGGTGTCCGGCTATAAAGTTGTAATAAATTTGCCATCTACCCACAACCCCCAGTGCAGCCCAGAGATAGCAGAAGAAAACTGCCTCTGATTTTAACTTAGCGGTCGAATTTCTTAAAACTCTTTTGGGCGGGCCGGGGTGAGAATCCGGGTAGCTCCGGGCCAGTTGGGGGTGACCCCGTCCCGTCTGAACCAGATCATCCTTGCGGAGTGAGCCCAGGAGTGAAGGAGGGACCGACTGGAGCCGGAAACAGACCTCAGCCCCGTTTCTTTCCGGGAACCCTGAGTGCGCACACTTTGGAAAGTCGGGTTCCCCCTGTGCCACTGCCATAGACCGGGGTGGGTCTTCGCTCCCCGCCACGCTTGTCCACAGACAGACTGAGCGCCCTGAGAAAGCGGCCACAGGGGGATTCAGGGACATCCACCGTGACAGGAGAAATCGGGGATGGGGAAGAAGTTCATCAGCGGGGGCCAGAGCCCTGAGCGCGCCACAGGCGAGGCCGCAAGCTCTTCCCTCGCTGATTCTTAACCCCTCCCCACCTCCACGCTGGCGCTCAGATCTCCAGCCAAACGGATCCGAGCCTCGGGTTATTTTCAGTCATAACCTTCTCCACCCCCCCAAATGCCGCGCCTGGGCTCTGAGGGGGAAAGGGCGGTTTGAACTGCCCTGCGCAAGTCTCATGGCCGCCGCCGCGCGCCTGCGGCAGAGCCGGCCTGGTCGCGGCCCCGAGCGCACAGCCCTTCCCCGAACCACGCGCGCGTCTGGCGCTCCTCTCGCCCGGGGCTCGGGGCACCTCCAGCCTGCCCTGCTCCCTGCTCCCCGCCCCCCTCGACTTCTAGGTTCTAAAACACAGAAGCATCGTCTAAGGCGTTGGCAGGTAGACAGAGGACACAAGGTCAAGGCCCGCGGACATCCGCGATCCCCACGCTTGCGCCCTTGTCTCCGCAAGCGAGTCTTGTCCACAGCCGAGGAGGGGAAGGGTGTCGCAGACCCCAGTTCTATCTCAAATCAGGGATTTGACGCTGCTTCCCGACTGCCCTCTGCCAGCGCTCACATTCTTCCCTCCTTTCCGCCTGGCGCGGTTCCTAGATTTTAAGACATCTTGTCCCCCACTATCGCAGACGGATGGTTCCCCACTGAGAAGCTTCACGAGCACTGCATTCCCACCCTGCGGTCGGTCGGTGCGAAGACAAGAGGAAAGGTCTCGCGATCAACGCGCCTCGCCCACTCCCTTTCCCCCGCCCCCCGCCCCAGCTACCGGGCGCGCTCCGGCACGCGCCTCCCTCCCCCAGACCCACAGTTTTCTTCGGTAGGAAACACACGCGCCCAACCCACCCCGCCTCCCACGTAAAGGCCAGTCGCCTCTGTTTTTTTGTGTGTGCCCAAACTCAGCTGGAAGTTGAACGCAGGGGAGTCGGAGAAGCGCGGAAATAAAAGAAAGAGAAGCGAGAAATCAAAGGTGGCGGGGGGGAGGGGGAGGAGGAAGAAGAAAGCAGCTGGAGGTCGCACCGGCAGAGGCGGAGGCCAGCCCCCCGGGGGCTCGGGCGCGGCGGCCCCCGCGGCCGCGCCTCCCCCGCGGCCGCCCGCCAGCCCGCGCGCGCCGAGCCGGGTCAGGCGCGGACTCACATGGTGGGACTGCAGAGCCGCTCTCTCAACTACTGCGAGTGGGTGGTTTCGGGGCTGCTCCCCGCGTCCGGCTCCGGGGCTGCCTGCGGTGTGAGGTCAGAAACAAAACCAAACCGATCTCGGGACGCGGTCGAGACGGGCCGCCCGGCGCCGCGAAGACCTCTCTCACTTTGCAAAGGAAGCGGGCGCGGGGATTCGGGCTGCCGGGTGTAGCCTATAAATAGCGAACTTTTAGACGGAATCAACTGACAAATGAAGAGTAGGGCGCGGAAATTTGCGCCGATTCCCCTTCCCCGGGATGACCCTCCCTCCCTCCCCACCCCCCAGCCTCTCTGCTGGCGGGATTTGGGAGGGGGACAGATTCGGGGGCAGGGGGTGAAATGTAGTTTTACTCCGATTTCCAGTAGTTTTGTTGTTTTTGCCAGGAGGGGGGTACTCCGCCTCTTTGCCTCCCCCCGCACCCCAGCGAGGCACTAGAGGCACCAGCTGGGAAGGGCAAGGGCCCGAAGAGCAAGGATCCTAGAAGTTGGCTGGAGAAGCGAGACGGGGAAGAGAGCACGGAGCCGGGTTTCCCCTGGGATCACGGGAGCGACGGAAGGAAGGCGGGAAAGTGGCAGGGTTGGGGGTTTTCTTGAGACCCAGGACGAGAATTTAGGTAACCCTGTGTTTGGAGGGAACGGCGACAGGGTGAGTGCAGAAGGCACAAAGGAGCTCCCAGCCTGTAGGTTTCCATCCCCGAAGGCCACAGTAACTCTCCAGGGATACCAAGACCCCCTCGATCTTGAACCGCCGGGGTTAAGCAGGCGTTGCCCCGGGGTCACGTCCTGACTCGCCGAGGGCCGCAAGCTCCCGGGAAGCGCGCCCGGCCCGCTGGCGCCCGGGGGTGGTCCTTGTTAGCTCCCCGGGGGCGGCCGCCTTTCGTCCAGCTCGCGCACACCGGCGGACCGAAGAGACCCCCAGTGACTGTGCGTCCTGACCGCCAATCGCCGCCCACCCGCCCCCTTTCCTTGAGCCAGGGCCAGACTGCGAACGGTGATTTGGGTTAGTACGATTTTCATTTTTATTCCAGGTGTTTTCTCAAATATAAACCCCTCCGGGGACGACAGACATTAGCTCTCCACTCCAAACTCGCCAGTTCAAAAGGTTGCCTAGCTGAATTTATCCTGGAGGTCTCAACACCAACCACAGCCCATAGGATAGTCTAATAGGGCTGAATACGGGGGGTGGAGAAATTGAGGACACCAAAGGGGAGGGTCTGCAGGTGGAAAGGATTCTCTTTGGAGGCTCCTCGTTCAACACAAGGCCTGCAGAGGAGGGGGCCAAGCCCATCCGAAGGGCCTAAAAGTGGCCTCAGGGCTGGGGGTCGCGGGGGGGGGGGGCGGAGGGAAAGGGGATCAGGAGAGCGGCGGTGATCTTTCTTTTCGCTCCTTATCCCCGCCCAGTACCACCGTCCGTCCCTGTAAACAGAACGTCTCACCTCTTCCCCGACCCCCTGGAGAAAACCGAATGGGGTCCCCCACGCGACTGGGGGAGGGGGGCGTTACTACCCGGTTCCCGCTTCTCCTAATACCACTTCCTGCAGGTTACCTCCCGCGTGCACGGAAAAGTTACTTCGCCGTATCCCAGAATCCAGACGAGTCTGGAAGGAGAGGGGCAAGGAAGAGGTGCTAAGAGGGTTCCGGCGGCCGCTCTCTCCGCGGGGTGCCCCCACCGCCCTCCCCGACTCCACGCAGGCGGGTGAGCGCGGCGTTCGGAGCCACCCGAAGCGCGCGCTGCTCTGGCGCCTGCCGGAGGGTTGCGCTTCCCTCGCTGCCCCGAGGGTCACGAGCCCGCGGGGTGAGGGTGGCCCCTCTGCCCCGGTCCAGAGCCAGCTTACGGGTGTTCCCAGACGGGAGTTGGACGGGGCCCGGACGGCCCGGGCCACTGGCGCCTGGTTTGCGTTTCCCTGGCTACGTACCTGTCCCGGCCTTCCCGCTCGGAGGGCTGACCCCGCTGCGGAGCCCGGCCCGGGAGCCTGCGCCTCCAGCGGGCCCGCCCCCGCCCTCTCCCGCGCGCCCTCTCTCCCCGGTACGCTGGGCCAGACGTGGGGCGGTCTCTCGCGGGCCATTGGCTTGGGCCGCTGTTCCGACCCGGCTTTGAGGATTCCCCCAGGCTTTGGGGGCCCCCTTTGTGGACCGGCGACCGAGGGGCCAGGCCAGCGACTCACCTTTGACCCCACCCACCACTCCCGCATCCCTCAAGTTCCCCTGCATCCGTCCCCTGGAGCCCAAGGCTTTGAAACGGTAGTGACTCCGCAAAGAAAGCGGGTGAGAACCTCCTTGCGGGTCGAGCATGGAAGTCAAATGAGTGTTTGCGGCGTTTCTCGAAGGTTCTGGGTGTTCGTACCAGGGGAACGGGCCCTGTGGGGACAGAAAAGATAGACGTACAGACAGCATCCCGGTGGCTGTTTTCAGCGCGAAGTTCACGTCTATTGTTTTCTGCCTCTGGAAAAGCTGCCCAGTGTGATAGATCTGTTTAGATCCCATCACTGGAAGAAAAATCCTGGTGATAATGATTATCTCCCGCTCGCGCTATCTTGCCATCGCCCCGATTCATCTCGCTCTCCGGGAGATGAAGAGGGTGAGCGGCTGGAGGGAGGATGGGCCCAGCCGTTGCCCTCGGATGGAGCGGAGAGGCACAAGGCCACCTCACCCGTCACATTCCGCTCCGGGCTGGGGAACAGGATACGGCGGGTTTCTTTCTCTGCCCAGCCTCACGCTTCTTTCAAATGATTTTAGTCTGGTGCTCCGGTCTATCCATATACATTTCCAATCTCATGGCTCATAAACTATTAGCAAAATGGTTTCATTATTCACCTTCTGTATCCTACAAAAGGGAGAAAAGAAGGGAGCAGCAGGAAGGCAGAGTGGGGGTAGGGGGACGACCGCGGGACACGAGTTCACAGTGACACCGCCCGTGTTTAAATCACGGCTCAGGCTGCCTTCTTCAAGTTGACACTCAACAAATCTGATCCGTTTCCGAAGATCTGTAGTCGACCTCCTCTCTTTCCCCCTCCCCTCCCCTTTCTCTCTTTCTCTCCGTCCGTCACTCTCTCTTTCCTACGTTTCTAGAAGGACCAGATGAATAACCAAAATACTGCAGATCCATTGTTTGTTTCATTAGGTGTCATCAATAAGGCACGCCCTTTAGATACGACATATAAAATTGATTAGAATGGCTACCCCTGTCCCCTTTTGGGTGGTGGTGACAGAGTCACATGTCATCTGTAAAGCCAAACCATCCTAAGACACAAGGTTAGGATGATAACCAAGTAGTTTATTTGTGGCATCAAGGTGGCCAATGGAGCAACAAGCCCTCAGCGGGCTTCCGCGAGTTCCGGGAAGTGAGGAAGTTGCAGAGTGGAGTGAGTGAGTGAAAGTGTGTGTGTGTGTGTGTGTGTGTGTGTGTACACGCGCGTGCCCGTGTATGTGCCCTGTAGGAGAATGGGGAGACAGAGCGGAGTCTTTGTTTGGCTCTGAGAGATGGCGGGGGGTGGGGGACACATTAAATGAGTCAACCCTGATTAAAAGACTAATAGAAGCAAACATTCCTGGAGGCAGGAGAACTGTGTGCAAAGGGCTAAAAACTGCGGGCAGGCGCGAGACGGCAGAAGCAGCCTCGGGCAATAGGAATCTGGATCGGCTTCTCCTCTTGGGTTTATGATCATATTAAGTGCCTCTACCAACACTTTAACTTTTCTTATCAGTATATTTTATGTAGGATGACTCTATCAACACACACGCACGCGCTCCCGGTACTTTTGAAAATATAAAGGACGCCAGGCAAGCGAACGTGCAGTAATTATCCCTCGATGGAGAAACCAATCTGGCTGCGAGAGGCCCGTCTGCGATCGCCCGAGGCGGCGGCGCGGGGACCTGCGCGGAGGCCGGGGACTACCGGCGCTCGCTAGGTCACGGCGCCGCGCGGCCGCCGCTCGCCCGCTGTTTAATATACATAGGGTGGGAACGCAGGGAAAAAGGATCTTGTGCCGGCACGTCCTGCAGGAAAAAAAAATCAATTTGCTATTTATTTTTGAAATATATAGATTTAGGATTTTTTTTCACCCCTCAGCCCGGCCCCCTTCAAGAAACAGCGGCCCATATTGAATTACGTCTTTTAATGACTTTTCCCCTATATGCCGTCGCGATTTCAAGTTCTGGGCAGGAGCAGGGTGGAGTTTCCTGGGCGGGGGTGGGGGGGGTGTCAATGCCGGTATCTTCAAAAAGATTTGCCTCGTGTGTTAATTGCATGCTGTTAAGCACATCTGGGACTGCGCGCTGACCAACTCGGACCAACTTTTAATTAACACATTGACCCGGCGATGGAGCAGCCGCCCGGCCTCCCCCTCGAAATATGTATATGAGCCGCGCGCCGCCAGATGCCAGCGAGGAATCGCCTGCGTCCCGGGGCGGGAGCGGGGGCACAGCGCCATCGTAGGCTCTCTCCCGGTGAACGTTTTTTCCTCGCCTATAGGTGTATAGGAAATCAACAAAGACTGAGAGTGAAGGACCGGCTCCTGGAGCAGGCTTCTTGCATCCTTTAATGTGACTTGACCATGGGCGGGGCAGTTGGGGGAACGGGGAAGGAAGACCCCCTCCCTTCTCCCCGCAAGGCCATTGCTACCCAGCCTGCCTTGGGCTTGAGCTGCAGGCTCGAGCCGGGGCTTTTTGAATGGGCCGACTTCTGGGTTAGCGAAAGTGGTGGCCGAACATCCGCGTGGAGAGAACCAGCCACCGCTGCTTTCCCGATTCTAGCGGGCCTCCTCGCATTCTCCCCGTCCTCCGAGGCTCTCCGTGGAGAAATCACAAACTCCAGGGCCCCCGGTCTGAGAAATAGGAATGGGCTCCCCACCCCACTCCCCCGGGTTCTTGGAACTCAGAAGGCTAGGGCACAGGAAACTACTGGCTATTTTTAGGACCCTAGGCCCTTTCTCTGGAGACCAGGGGGCGACCTTCCAGCCAGGTCAGTCACATCCCCGGCCTCGGGGAGCAAGAAACCAAGAGCGCAGAGCAGAAGATGCCACCTGCAGATACACAATTTCACCCTAAGTAATTTCATTCAGAATTGATGGCGTTTCACCAGAGTGGTGCCTTCGAAGTGAGTGCCTAGCCTGCCTCCCCGTAGAGCACCAATGCGGGTTAATTCCCAGATACGTACTCATTTTCTCTTTTCTCATCTAATCTCAACTGCCTCGCTCTACTAAGTGCTTAGCTTCAGCATACATCCCTATAAAAAAATGTCAAAGTGGTGTTCCTTCTCCCAGCCATAAAAAAAAGTTGGAGTGAATCACTCCCAAGTTACCTTTTAACATCCCCTCCAGGTAACAGTTGAAGTTTCTTGTTTGACATTTTTCATTTCCCAATACAGAACTTTTCCATAAATACCTAGTCGCAACATGAGGAGAAGTATATGTGGCAATAAATTCTCAGCTATATCTTCTAACTATGGCGATGCTTTAGAAAATTTAATGTGACAAGATTGCTCCCCAAATTCCTTCCACCTCTATTCTTTTTTTCCGTATTCTCCTTTTCTTTTTTTCCTGTCCTTCCCTTGAATCTACTTCTGCTATCAACTTATCAGAGGATCTGCAAAATTTAAAACTAGAAGAATAGAAAAGATAAAGACAATGTTCTGTTGCTCAGTATGCCTCTGAGTTCCTCTAGATCTTTTTTTTTTTAAATTCAGATAAAGGTATAATCAACACCTATCTTCCCGCAGGAAAAAACCAATCAGTTGGTAAATTACAATATCCCTTTGCAAAGATAAGGCCTTTGGAAAGGTAGCACAATCATTGCCCAAATGGCTTCATTTTGAGTTGAGTGGACCACGGCTCCTTATTTCAGCTCACAAATTGTTCTGCAAAATTGCAGCACACACCTGATATCCAGGGAAAAACAAGGGTTCGTAACTCCAGCTGGTTCTTTTGATTTACTCTGCCTGGTAAGATGTATGCTGGGGTGTTTTGATAAGGGGGAAAAAAAAGGAGTCAGCAGTTTGATTTGGAAACTCTTTTATTGCTGAATATGGTTGCAGGTTTAAACTAAAGAATGTGTTTCTGCTGGGGACATTTGCATGACACATCCATATGCATTAGCAGCTGCACGGTGTGACATCATCAGTTCCTGTGAGCATTTATCTTTTTCCCCCCTTCTGTCTTTCTCAAAGGAAGTGGGTGAGTGGCATATAGGAGTATAGGCATATATAGGAGTACCATATAGACTTTAAAGATACATGACTCTTTCTATGTCCTTCAGGCCCTCTAACCTAGTTGGCCTGCAACAACCTGTGTCTTTTGACAATTATGGAAAATTTAAAGTAGTTAGCCTTCCTGGTTACACTTTTTTAAATGATAATAATGTAATAACAGTGTATAAAATTTAATGACAGAAGTTTTCAGAGAAAGTAGCCTTTTGAAGCTTTAACTCCCTTTTTCCAAAGAAAAAGGTGTTATAATCCACATTCTCCTAATCATTTGTTTAGTGACTTAAAAGAGAAATGTTTAATTAGATAAAGTGCCTTTGTGTCCTCAGACTTCACTTCTTGGTATATGATGGAGACAATACTTTTGAATCAAGAAAACTAAGACCATACCATACTGACATGGAGAGATGGTGTCAGAGAGCAGTTTGAAAGATGTGTGCGTCTACAGATGTTCTCTGAGCAGTACAAAAGCTACCTTCTAATATCCACAGTGAGTTTTCTGCAACTAATTCATCCTAAATTGTATTTCACCTGTGATTCTCCCTGAATCCCAGTGGTCTGTAAACAGCAGGAACCACAATGTCAAACTGAAATTGGAAGGAAACTGGATCTGATTCTGTCCAGTTACTCAGGCTATTCGTTGTTAGAAAGAAAACTGTACATTTAAGTTGTGGTCATCAAATCAGGTTGACTTGGAAGTATATTGACCCCAAGTCAAGAGGTTAACATAAGCATATTTTTAAAACTTTGCATCTCATTTCTTCTCAACATTAAGTGTTTGATGGTATTGCTGGAGAATGGTCATGCTCAGATCCATCACAGTACAGGTGTATCACAAAGTGAAACAAAAATCTCACACATATACAAACAGGCAAACAAAGAGATAATTACTCTTATCAGGAAATGTTTTGACCAATGAAGATATCCTGCTAGAGATATTATAGCTTTTCTTTCAGTCTTTGTAACATTTTTGGTCTCCAGAAAAGATATTTAAAAGAAAGAAATGAAATGACAGTAATTAGTGAGTGTCATTCACTTTTCTTGTAAAATACATGGAACTAATATGTACTATTGCACAAATGTGCATGCACAATGACACATAAATATGCATGAGTCTATGTAATAATCTATTTTTATGTCTTGTTTCCATATGTTTGCAAATACCACCAGTGCATTGGTTTGACCTAACCAAAAGGTAGCTAAGATCTCTGCCATTCAGTTGAATCCTAGATGTTTTAGGCATCACAGAACAAATTTCTCCTGTCCTCCATTGCACAGAAGTTGAATTTTTTTTTAATTATATAACTTTAAAGTACTCATTCAATACAGTATGGATAAAGGTAAAAACAGCTGCCTTGTGGGATAGTATATGATGAAAAATCCAGCTGCATTATTTTATTCAATTAATTATTTTTGGAATAACTAGAACAGCCACAGGTTAGCTTAGTTGTTTAGTTCAGAACATGGCCCAGAATTGATCTTGTGATTGTGTCCTGGCTCAAGAGCTCCATATTATACCCCTCAACCCTGGGCAGCCCGGGACAATTCTGTGCCAGATGTGACAAGAAGAACAAGGGAAAATGTGGATAAACTCGCACAAACCAAAGAAATAAAAAGATTTGCTTTTAAAAGCACACATCGCACTTGGAGCATTAAGTACATAAGACGTGGTATAAATGTCTGCATTTCAAACAAAATCTCTCTGGCAAGATTTATTAGAGAACAGAGAAAGGGAGCAAAAACACCTCATTGAGGCTTGAAGGGGAGCTTAGACTTGATGAAGAAAACTACTGTACCTGCCTGGGTTTTGATATATCATTTAAAACATTTTCAAATCAGCTTTTGCTTGCTACTGCTTAATATGTATTCTCTTTACCTTTAAAATAGAGAATTTATTTGTTTGTATGCTTTTTGATTGGCTTTTGATATTAAACATTTCTGAATGTTTTAAATGGTCAATAGATTTTGGAAAAAGGGATGTGAAGAAATTACTTATTTGCTTATCCATTTGTCTCTCAGTTTATTTACAAAATAATTCCATTTTTCCCTCAAAGGCTCTTTTGGCACAGGTCACACTATCATAGGGTTTTTGAAACATAATGGTGAACAAAGATAAAACAGACCATTCCAATGGTCACCCTTGATTCAGCAGATCCAAGGTAAACAGCAGAAGGAAGTTTTGTTACATCAGTCCTTAAATCTATAGCCGTTTATTCAGATTTATTTCCAAGAAGTATGAGGTAGGTAACATGGATATTCAAAAGTCAGTGATTACAGTCCAGCGTGGATGAAGCTCAGAAGTCACCACCTTATCCTAACAAGTAAAAGGATGAACAAACTGAAAAATCAGTTCTCCTTAGATTCATCAGAGAAATGAGATTGGAGGGCTAACGGCTGTGTCTGAAATGAGAGACAGACAGATACAGACAGTCACAACTTAGGACGGTTCAAGAGCTGAAACCTTCTCAGGAACCAGTTCTGGGGGAAACTGAACTGAAATTAACAAATTCCTGGGGGCTCAGTGTGGACACATCAGAGTTAAAAACTTCAGTAAGAGCCAGTCATAGTCAAGGCTTCCTACCTCCATTGAGTTTTATTTCTAGGAGCTCTACTAGTTCCTTGCTGCAAATGTCAGAGAAAAAATACTCTCATACTTCCTGAATCTGTGGTGTCTGACATCATTCTTACTTCAAATATTGCCTCTGTTCCTTTCTTTCTTCCTCTTCTGGTATTTCCATTGTGCATGTTACATCTTTCATAATTGTTCCACAGTCCTTGGATATTCTGTTCTTTTTTGTAGGGATAAGATTGGCATTCTTGTTATTGTTTAGTGGCTAAGTCATCGTCTGGCTCTTCTGTGACCCCATGGACTCCAGCTGTCCAGGCTCCTCTGTCCATGGGCTTTTCCAGGCAAGAATACTGGAGTGGGTTGCCATTTCCTTCTCCATGGGATCTTCCCAACCCTGAAGGGATCAAACACGTGTCTCCTGCTTGGCAGGTGAATTCCTTACCACTGAGTCACCAGGGAAGCCCCAGAAGGTCATTACCTAATAACAAATGGGTCAACACTCTAAGAATATATAACAATCCTTAATATGTATGGATTCAACAAAAAAGCTTAAAATTCAACATTCAAAAAATTAATATCATGGCACCCAGTCCCATCACTTCATGGCAAATAGATGGCCAAACAATGGAAACAGTGACAGACTTGATTTTTTTGGTCTCCAAAATCTCTGCAGGTGGTGACTGCAGCCATGACTTTAAAAGACACTTGCTC